AAAAAAAAACCATGACAGCGCTTGATTGATGAACTTATTCTTCGGTCCTTTGCCGACATCGCCAGCAAGTACTGCCGATAGCCAGCGAGTACTGCCGATAGGCCAAGCGAGTTGGCGGCGGAGCACATTTCCACCGAACTCTTCCTGCCTCCTCCGGAAACGCAAAAATATATATAAAAAAGGTAGTCGCTGGCAACTGTGAGAAGAAGTGTTGCTTGCTCCAAGCATGCCAAGCAGAAGCTTTGCCGGTGCTCAGCTGAGTCGGCGGTGATGGACTCAGTTGCTCCGACTTTCGGGGACGGGTTGCACCGTTTATGATCAGGCTCTTGAGAGTAGGCAGTGGTCAAAACAAGTACCAATGCCCATTTTTGTTTTTTTCTTATAATACAGACAATCCCCTCGGTAGTAATCCCTAGGCTTGAAATACTCCCTCAACAGCAATAAATTAGCGGCTACAGTACTCACCGCAATTAGTGACACTATTTCATATAAGGTGTTTTTCATTTTCCTTACATAAATTAGTGTGTTGCTATTTTTGAACTGACACTGTGATAAAAGTAGTGTCACTTAGACTAATAGTAGTCTTCAACCACACCGATTATTCAGTCCCCACATCTTCAGCATCACTTTTACCACTTCCACTTGCATCACTATCAGCAACCGCAGACTTGCCATCAAACTCGTCAGGGTACTTCTTCATAATTCCCTGGAGATGAGGGAAAAAGTTGCTTTGGGTTCCATAAATTGTCAATATCAAGTGAAAGACCACATCTAATCATCGCTTTGCTGGCATAGTTGATCCCGTTCTTGTCCCGGTAAGCTTTCACCTCACGAACGCGCTCAGCGGTTATGGTAAGGATTTTTTTTACTAGGATTCTTGAGTTTTCCTGGCCGTCTTTCGTCTGGCGTTCTAGACATTACCAGCCCGGGCTTCTTTTGAAAGAGTCGTTTTTTTGTTGTTGTTAAATAAACGCTCTGGCTTCCAACTTACTAATACTTTAATTAATGATCAGGATTGTCTATAGTTTATTGGCATGTGAAACTATTCTGGACAAATACAAAACCCTTGTCTTGTACGTCAACCACCGTGTATTTACAGTAACACCACAAACCGTGGCGCACCCT